TGATGCAATCACTTACCCCCATGAAATGAGAGAAGGGTGATAAAGTGAATGGAAATACTTAATGAAATCTTCATTATTGGCCTAGTTCTGCTTCTGCTGAAGGCAGCTGGAGTCCTACTATGGAATTCAGTAAGGATAGGGGCCAGTATTTTAAAAAATGCAGGGAGCTTTATGCCAAGGTGTTTGAAAGAACAACATTCACTCCAGAGAAATATTGCTGGTCTGGTGTTTAAATATATAAAACATGTATTGTATTTTCCCCACATGCATCTAGCACTAGCACAAGGAAACACAGTGACGCTTTGCAGGCATCCAGGCCTCTTACATAGCTGACATTTTCTAGCACTGAAGTCCTTTTTAAGTCTCATGTAAGAATTCTGACTTTTCCTTATTTTGAAGTAATTAAAAGTGAGTTTGAATTTTGAAATCCTGTGTTCTAAAAGCTGCATTTCATCTGCATTCTCTTCTTTACCCTTAATTTTTCTAAATGATAGTGGAAGATACAGAGTATGAATATCTGCAAAGCACTTTGAGAGTATGAGTGGCACTACAGGAAAGTGAAGTAAAATTCTCAGTGGATAACATATTTAATACTTCAAATAGATAGTTATATTACTCTTCAGCTCTAACTTAAGATCTTTTTTCCTAGGGAGAGACCCCTCTACCTAATGTGATGGAAACAGCCTTTTATTTTGAACAGGCTGGAATTGGCTTGAGCAAGGATGAATCCTATCACATATTCCTTGCCCTTAAAAAACTAATTAGTGTTCAGCCAATCCAGACCTGTCGCTTCTGGGGCAAAATTTTGGGCCTGCAGATGAACTACATTATAGCTGAAGTTCAGTACCAAGAGGTGGAAGAGGAGGAAGAAACAGAAGAGGAAGAATTTACTGAGGAAAGAGGGAAAGGGATGGATGAGGTCGAAGACGAAGATGCAGAGAAAGAAAAAGATGAACCACCGAAGTCCACCTATAAGCCCCCACCTGTGATCCCAAAAGAAAGAAATGGGACTGGGGCTAACAAATATGTCTACTTTGTCTGTAATGAGCCAGGCGAACCCTGGGTGAAGTTGCCTCCAGTGACACCAGAACAGATTGTCTGTGCCAGGAAAATCAAGAAGTTCTTCACTGGTAGGCTGGATGCTCCTGTTGTGAGCTTTCCTCCTTTCCCTGGAAATGAGGCCAATTACCTGCGTGCACAGATCGC